ACTGATGCAACTGAGCTGCTGCGCTGTGGAAACTTACTCAGCATCGTTAGGAATCTGGAAACGGAAAAGTTGAAGCTCCTTCTGTCTCTTCTTGTCCTATACGTACGGTCTGTCTGCAAACTGTAAGCTCAAAGTATAAAACAAACTATTTGCTTCTAAAAAAGAACCAGGCGACTCACGTCCAACTAAAACATCTCAGACTGAAAGATAAACATGACAGTTTGTCTGTAGGGGGTTAAACTGACCGGCTGCTGGTCACATCCCTCCAGCACTGAAGAAGCAGTAAAGTCTGTGCTTTTGTTTTTACTGGATGCTGAAAACTTTTGGGTCTGACTGGAGTTATAAAATGAGTGATGAGTATTAGTTCTTCTCTTGATCTCCCACAGTTTGGCAGATCACGATGCTCACAACAGAACATGAAGCAAATGGATTTATTGAAGAAACAAACAAATAACTGTGTATGATCAGAATAACAACGAACATTTATCCTATGCTGTTTAATAACTTTACCTACTGGAAGCATAAAGTAAAGAGTATTGGTCCAAGCACTGAACCATGAGGAACTCCATGACTAATTTTGGTGTAAGACGACGATTCATTATTTACATTTACAAACTGGAATCTACCAAATAAATATGATTTAAACTATTTTAAAGCCGTTCCTGTAATCCCAGTATCATATTCAAACCTCTGTAGCAGAATATTGTGATCGACTGTATCAAATTCATATAAAACTGTTAATTAAAACTATTTGCTATCTCTAACTTTAAAGATGAAAAATTAAATCACACAAATTCTATTGTTTGGCTACATAATAACCAGTTTGACATCAAATTTATAACAATTAATAAAGAAAAAAAATGCACCTTTTGTATAAAAAGTCGACCCATTAACCCAAATAAAGATGACTCCATTAAGTTCCACTGTCCAAAACAGAAGTTCCCATCCAGGAAACTTTTCTGGATGTGGAGATGCAGACTTCAAACTGCACAACGGTTTATATCACCTGATGGTCAGGACCGGCCCGAGCTGCCATGTTGTAGTTTCAGAGTCAGTTTGTGCTTTCAGGATCGATACCCAAGTCCTGCTGCCTCCCAACTCTCTAATGGCTAAACTGTCAATCACACCATGATGTGACCCTCTTCTACAGTATGTTAAAACATAAGGCTTTTTTTTCCCCTTGTTATCTATTTTAATTGATTTGGTATACTTTTGTGTTTCTGATGTCATTTATGATGTTTTAATTGATTAATGTGAAGCACTTTGTAACATTTGTTTGAAAGGTGCTATACAAATAAAGTATTATTATTATTATTCTAAAGCCTCAAATGACTAAATGAAGCTGCTTCAATTAGCAAAATTCAACACCAGAAAAAAAACAACCTGAAAATATATTTATTTTTTGTTCACATAAAGGATAGTTTACAGAAAAGGGGTGGGGCTTAAACAGTGGCGTAGTCTATATATTTGTAGTGGGTACACTGTGCTTAGAAACTAAAGTACACCGGTTAGTACAATGTAATTGTTAATTTTGATTTTTAAGCATATTGAACATTTCAAAAATGTATCTGATGCTTTTATTTGAATAAATGTACAAGAAATTTTGTACAACTTTGAGGCTTTTTATTAAAAACATGTTATAGAATTTATAAAACAGTATCAAAGTAAAACATGTTCAAGTATTAAGTAGTAAGTACAGAAGTATTAATCATACAAAAAAAACAGGTTGAACCAACTCATTGTGTCTATAAAATGTTCCAAATGTGTCGACAACGACACGAGCCCATGTCATGTATCAATGACACATGACACATGACATGGGCTCGTGTCATTTGGGCACGTTTAAGTGGGTATAATGACATTTCCTGGGTATATTCAGTTCGCCTGTGTATCACATAGACTACACCACTGGGCTTAAACCTGTACTGGTGCAAGTCACTAGACGGTGCTGGCTTCAGTTTCTGGCTTCCAGTCCCGTCTCTACTCCTACTTTGACGGTTCAGTCTGAAAATAAGTGCAAACATCTCTGAGCAACGATCCTCGACCCACATTTGTTGCACTTGTTCATTTCTGTCGACCGCTTTGACACGAGTGTTTGTGTCCCAAAGATAGAAAAGCCACGACCACATGATTACAGAGCACTGTGGGTGTTTCCAACTGGACGACCACAGCATCCTTCTCTTCTGAGCAGCCAGCCTCAGGAAAACAGATGAACTTAGCTCAGGTCTGAACACCCAGACTCATCTGACCCGTTCTACAAACCATGAAGTTTTGTTGTTTCTCTGCACACGCTGCAACAAACCTGGCATCTATTTGAAATATACTTCATTTTCAGTCAATATACTGTTTGCATCTTTCTCTCAAACGTTTTCCTGCGTTCGTCCTGAAACGTTCTGTCAGTTACAGGATGTAGTTTTCTTAATAGCTTTCAGTGAGGTCACATGCAGACACTTTGTGAACCTGTCAAACATTTGTCCTGCTCCATGTCCAACGTTTAAACAAAGATCTTGTGCAATAAGTTAGCGTTCAAAGCATGTGCTGGAGAGGACTCTCAGCTACTACCACACCAAGCATGTGCTCATTACCTGTTAAACGGGCTGAGTTATAATTATTTTTGTGTTTGATATGATCGGTTGGCTGTGGCAGCCATTTTAAATCAGCTCGACTTCAAACGTTAAACTGTTGTAACGCTACAATCCAGGGATTACTTTCAGAGAGTCGTGAAAATCTGTCCACTGATTCATGAGATATTTTGCTAACAGACACACAAAAACAGGGGATTACAATTCGACATTTAAACACGTTTTTAATATTTTTTGATTACGACCAAATATCTCACAAAAAGCTGATTTTAAAACTTTATTACAATCGTATAAATAAATAAAAAATACTCATGAAGAAGCCAAAGCAAAACAAATGATGCACGACGGAGTTCTTGGTTTTGAAAATTTATTATTTTACTTGGTGTACCACTTGAACCCAAATATTATAAACATACACAAATAATGTCAAACAGATAAAAAGAAAAAAGATTGCTCTAAGATTTTTTTGTATTAAATATAGTTTTTGTGAAAAGTTAAAATGTCCTAAAGAATTTTATCAACAGAAAAAAACAAGAATACACATACAAAAAAGGAAAAGTTACAAATGCGTATTAAAATGCGTCCAATAATAATAAAGATTCTTCAAGCAGTTTGTATTTTCTAGTGTAGACAAAAATCTGATTAATACAAGCATTAATAAAAATCTCTTAATTCCATAAGACCCCATCCCGTAAATATAAAACTATTATTTCTGCACAAAATTACACTGAATCAGGTTTTTGAGCAGAATCAGGCAGTACAACAAGTTTTGTTGATGTCTGCTGAAAACAGCCCATAAGAAAAGTTTTATTCTTTTATTATTTGTTTAATGTGTATAATAAGTCGAATCAAAATGGACTTTATTTTTATGGTTTTGGCAGGAATGTCCTTTGTAAGGTGGAGTCAGTGCATCAGTGTCAACACAATCGTCTTTATCTCACAGCTTCACTGTGGAAACAAACGTTTCTGATCAGAATAATAAAATAAAAACACTCATCCTGGTTTAATAAAAATAAAATTAAACAGGGAAATGGTTGTGCAACATGTTAAAAAATGTCCCAAATTTTAACCCCAAAAAATACTAGTTCAATCTGGGAACAATTCAGCTAAAGTTATAATTTATTTATTAAATAACACTTGACCAACTTATCTAAATTGCATATAAGAAGATGAACGTATGGGATTCAGTTCAAACTATTGTTTTATAAAGTAGGGTTGTGTGGAGCAGCTTTAAGTAGTCAGTATCTTCTGTTCAGTAGACAGTTCTCGTTCATTTGAACTTTCATTATTTCATACATCAGCATTTCATGCAGAGCTGTGTTCATTCTCACTCGTGGTTTTTTTTTTTTGTGTCCTCGTCCAGTAAACCATCCACACTGAGATGGGCACAAAATGGGCCAAGGCAGGTACAAAAAGACTCAAAGAACGCAGCCGATGGAAGTAAACCTGGAGCTGCGGACGGTATCGCATGCTAAAACCTGCTCAGGACAGAAGCAGCTAAACAAACTCTACATGTCCAAATGTTGTGATAGATACAGAAACCCAGTGGTGGGCACAGCTAATCAAAAAGGTAGCTTTGCTAACAGCTAATTCGCCAACTAAAAAATAGCTTTGCTAACTTTTATTAGCCACAGCTGTCGCCGACACTGTAAGACCGTCAGTAATGTGAGAACGTTGTAAGTGAACACAACTCGAAATGGTTCATCACAGCAGGTAATGTGCCGTTCAGAGGTGAGCTTTCAGAAATGAATCCGGTCCATCAGAACCAAAGAGGTGGAGCAGAACTCCGCCGTGCTGAAGCAGAGTGATGCATTCAATGTGTGTGGGACGTCTCCCTCGTGTCAGTTACTTTAATGGATTAACTCACTTTAACAATTCTTTGTGGTGAACTACTTTTATCAGCTAACTGCAAAGTCGCTGCGCATCAGCATTAATATTCTCTCAGTAATAAATCTGTTCGTTTTAAAGATGTGCAAAATGTGTGAGAGTCACGTCCCAGAGACAGTGTGTTGCAAAGCATGCTGGGTAGGAATGTTTCTGACTGTTTGCGATGTTTCAGTGTGAAAATGTGTTTTTCATGTAGTTTTCCTGCTCTGGTTTGGCTTAATTTCTGTTAATGTTTCTGTTATTGGCTGCAAACTGAGTCAGAGACTGTTTGCTGTAGATATGAGGAAAAAGCACTGAGGGTGGGGATGTCACAACCGCTTTTAGCTCCACTTAGCATAGCTCTGTGTAAATCACTATTGCCCTGTGTGATTTTAGTGTGAACAACTGTCTTATTAAAAAAACAGCAGACTTGAAATTACCAGGTTTATACTTAGCAGGGGCTAATACTGCTAAAGATGTTCAAAGTTAGCTAAAATGCCAACTGCTACATGGAAAGTTAGCTCTGCTATTAGCAGATTAGCTGAACCGTGCTCACCAGTGCTGACACATCGTCACTTCTGTACAGAACAGCCGTTTCTCAACCGAAGCAGGCTGCTGCACATGTGCACGAGTTCATCACAGCTCGTTTCTCTGTGCAAGTCGTCTCATGCAGACATCCTCTTATCTCTACAGGAAAAAAAGAAGCTTCGCTTATAGGAACAGCAGGTTTTACTGTCTTGCAATTGTTGTTTTTAGAACAGGCTGATGGAAGACGAGTCCCAGAGGGTCAGACGAAGTCGCCACCAAAGCTACTGCTTGTAGTAACGCCAAAGTCGTTCTGGTAAAACTTAGTGTTGGCCCAGTTCGAATGTGATCCAGGTTACAGACTGGGTAGTTTTGAACCCGTCAGTTTTTAGTGTGTAGTGTTTGATTAAACTGCTAGAAGAGTTTTGAGTTGGAGCTGTTCTAGTTGTGGAAGCATGCCTTTGATTGCATCCTGCTCCAAGTAGCTGTTAGCTTCACGCCTCCATAAAAATTACTTCCTTATAAAAATAAAAAAATTCAGCTCACTGCCATTTACTGCAGGTAAGATACTCACCACTCTTACGTACTCCACACAAGCCTAAATATGTCTACATTAAGGCACACCCTGTAATATTTCATTGGTAAGGTAACATGGCAGCAGCTCTAATGAGCACAGACCAAGATGGAGAATCTATTTAATGAGTTTTTCAGGACCTAATCCGTCAAGCAGAGTGAACACAGACAAAGATGTTCTTGTGCTCCTCCCAGTAGTGAAGCTCGTCGTTGAAGCTCCAGGAGCAGGCCAGACCTTTGGAAGTTTTCACTGTGTGGACCACACAGTCGCCGGGCAACTCCTCAAACAGAGTCTCTGCTACACCTTTCACCGAGAACTTCTTCTGACCCTGGATCAGCTGCTGGATCCGATTCTTATCCACAGGCTCGGGCGAGGCGCTGTACGACACCCAGACGTTCAGTTTCTCGTCAGACGTGGGCACCTGGAAGCGACTCTTCCCCGTCGGGCAGTGGTAATCCTTCTTGTTGGCGAACAAGGACGTAGGAGACCTGAATATGCGCACAGACCAGCCCACCCAGTCGTACTTCTTCTTAAGCTTCTCTATGATAGCGTCGGCTAGCTGCTGGTTGGTTTGGTCCACCTGGTCTCTCACCAGTCGTTTGGAATCCAGCTCAGCTTGCTTGGGGAAGCTGACAATGCAGTCTTCAATGACGGCGTTCATTTTATCCTGGACGCTCTTCATCTTCTCGCCCCACTCTTTCAGAAGGGCGTCCTCCTCGTCATAGCCTTTCAGAGCAGCGTGGCCCAGCAGCGCAATCAGCCCAATGCAGAAGAGGTTCTTTAGCCGAGAGCAAAAGTCCTCCATCGGCCGGCGACTTTTCTCCTCGCAGTTCAGGATGACCTCGAGCACAGATTCGCCGGAGAAGTTGTCTCCTGTTACAGCGTTGTAGAGGATGGTAAGGTTTTTGTCTCCATCCGTTTTAGCAAAATGCTCCAAGAAAAGCTTCTTCTTGACCTCCCTGAACTTGGGTTTGGCGTTGAGGATGTCCATGTACTTCCTGAACTGGTTTGTGATGTTTTCTTCCACAGGAAAATACGCAACGTTGATGCCGCTCTTCTTGATCTCATCGTTGATCCTCTGAATCTCTTCAGAGACCACCTCCAGACGCTCCCGGACCTTCTGAAACTGCTCCTTCATGAAGGCGGCCTCCTTGCTCTCCACGTTGTCGAGAGCCAGTTTGACGATGGGGGCGGCGATGGAAAAAACAGGGAAAAGGTCGCCGGCGATGCTGGCCACCACTTCAGCTCCCTGCTCAAACACCTCCATCACAGTCTCCACCATGTCCTTCTTCTCCGCCACGAGCTTCTGTAGAGGGTTCGCCATCGTCGCTGATGTAACCGATACTACCAAGAGAAGAACAACTTTCTTAATAAGAAAATCCAACTTACATTCTTGGAAACGCTCAGTAAAAAGCAAAAGTACAACAGACTAAGATGGAAAAAGTGAATTAAAACAAGGAGGAGGTATAAAACATCAAAGTAGTGGTCTGTAGAAGTACTTACAGCTCTGGAGACGTTACTGGGCTGCGGCCTGCTCCCTCCTGCTTCTTATAAAACAGCAAAAGCTGATAAGAAAAGAGAGAAACACCCACGTGAGCTCGGCTGCCGGTCACACCCAAAAAGCAAAGAGTCAACAAGGCAAGAGAATGTGATGGGAAAGTGATGCAAAACCAGTACGGCTCGACCCGTTTCTGTGCTAATTTAAAGGCCACTGTGGGGGGATAGAGTATACCAGGAGGGGCTGCAAAACGTTTAACACGTGAATCGTCATAGAACAAGAAATTCAGTTTCTCTACAGAATATCAGCCCAACACCAGCTCTGTGCCTCCATCATCTCACATGTTTGCACATTAACCAGTAACCATCCCATTATTGAAACGGAGCATTATTGGGGTGTATTATTTTTTTTTTAATTACTCTGAAAGAAAAACTAACGAACGAGACTCATAGTGCACATTTATTATATTATTCTAAAAGTTTCTAATTTACAATTTGCTTCCTCATTTGCTGCGAGCTTAAAGCAGAAGTTCCTAAATGTTGTAACTTTCAGTTTATTAAATATCCATAAAGTGACTTAACTCTCACTGTTGCCATTTGAAATGTATAAAAAATGCTAAAAGGTATGAGACAAGAGAATTATAATGATTATTCACAACCTGCCCGGCAGGGTACGTCATAGATCTGTGGAGAGATTGGAAGTTGATGTGCCTTTCCGTATTGGCTCAGGAGGACGCCGAAGATGTTTATAACATTGGAAACATCATAGCAGGGTTTCTGCTTTTTGGCACTAGCGGATACCTATTAAAGAAGACAGTGTAGCAGTTTCGGCCATGGCAAAGCTACCAACCTCATGTGAAGGTTTGGTTCGTGCTTCGAGTACTCAAAATCAGCTGATTTACTAGCTAAACCGTAAGATGGAAGCAATTTGTGAGAATCACAGGCGCCAGCGGCTTCTGGGACTCACCAGCATGTTGGGGACGACCTTGGAGGGCGCTAATAAGCACGGACAAGTGGAATGCCCGCACATCTGGCTATTTTGGATCATGGAAAGTACCAACAGGACTCAAAGCTGACGAGAAATAACAGTCTGTCTGAACAAAAATCAACAACTGTGGCTTATCTGAAGCGGACTCCCCCGTTTGGCCTCGAAAAAGGCAGACTTATCAAACTTCTCCTGGGAAATGTGGAAACTAAGAAAGCTCTGTCTATCGCAACCCCACCACCCCTCCCCCAAGAACATCTGTGAAGACTTATCAAAGCTGTACCGGCTGACACCAACATCTTAACAGGACTATGGTCCTATCTGGAATTGCTTTGTGGACAAATCTCATCATCTTGTTGTCAAATGCATATGTAATGTGTCTATAAATGTGCTGCTGTTAGAGTTTTTCATGTCTTAAATCGTGTCCTGATAGGACAAGGCATGAAGAGATCTTTTTTGTAATACCACTATCCTCTCCTCATGGCCTTTTCTATCTAAAAGAATAAGGGGCTGCGCTGTTAGGAGCAGCAGTAACGTACACTCCGCCCATCTTTCGGGCGACTGTACGAACATAATCTCACTGTATTTCAGTGCAATGATACTAAAGCTTATTCTGATTCTGACAAATACACACTCAAAGACCCAGGCAAATACATTATTGTATGTCTTTTATGCTGGCAGGTGATAAAAAATTGTTAATTTGGTAAGAAAAGATTAGAAACTATCAAATATTCAGCAGTGTGTTATTTAAAGTTTTGGTGCCGCACCAGGAAGTCATCTAGAGATGGAAAGCCTTTAATGCAAACAACACGTTCAGAGGTTGACATGGAGAGCAGCTCTCTTTTCATCCTGAACATGTTTGGACTTGTCCCTCTGCAAACCTGGAAAGAGTCAAACGTGTGGAAATCTGAAAATGAATAACAGTCCTGAAGGCGATTACAGCTCCACATCCTCGCTCTCAGCTGCAGCAATTAGTTAAACTGGTGTGTTTCAGTTCCAGTTTCTGCCAGTCACAAACTGTTTTTCTCTTCCTGTTGGGCCGAAGGACAAACTGCTGCGCTCTTTCTCCCGAACCAGTTTCAGCGCAGCGGGCGTGGGAAGAGGTTAAACTTGCTGGACGAGGGTGCACTTTCCAGCGAAACTAACCAAAGCAACAAGACAGGACAATGGAAAATATTCTGTCAGCTTGTTGGTGCCTCTGCTGATGTCGGTTCGCTCCCGACGGTTCATCAAACTGGATTTCACACGAGCGTGGCGAGCAGATGTTTTCACAGAGCTCCTTCGGATATCAAGAAGGCACATCTTAATGTTGACATTCCACCCAAGGCACGAGCATCCAAACAAACGTGGAACTTTAGCAAAATACAGAAACATTTTTTTTTTTTCTGTTTCGTCTTTTTGTTCTCAGATTCCTGCAGATAAAATGGGAAAATGTGGTTTATAACTTTCAGTACACAGCGCGACACCATGAGTCATGCTTCTGGTCTAGATGCTAGGCTAAGCTAGCAGGCTAGTTAATGTAGCTTCAGGTCATCTGCAGCTTTGTGTTGCATGTTAGATCGAAAGTTTGGATGTTAAGAGATCCAATCAACAGAAAGGTCTCATGAAATTAAATTATCACTCAGTTCTCTGTGCGTAAAATGTGGCAGTTTCTGAGACAACAAACTTAAGCAGCACTGCCACGTAAGTTTGTGTCAGTAAATTAGTCCCACACGATTTATTCCAGTAAACATGTCTGTGTGAGCAAAATACAACATATTGAATCAGAAGGGAACCCTCAGGTCCTTCTACGCCTTCAGAGAAGGCCCCAAAATTAAACACCTCGTATTTAAACATTTCTTATATTGTTTAATATTTGTAGATTTTCAATGCAGTTTTTCTTATTTTTGTTGTTAATTCATCTTATTTGCTATAAACTACTTTGCGGTTGAGCACGATTTTCTTTTAATTCATGAAAATACAGTTAACCATTCAGATTCTTTTTATAAATTTCTCTCCTGGCAGAAACATGTTTGAAGGAGCGTTCTCATTGGTCAGGACTTCACTGTCAGGAGAGAAGGCACAGCTCAAAGTGTCTCTGCAGTTTCACGACTAAAAGGAAAATTAACCAGTCACAAGTGGGTGGAGCCAAAACACACAAATGTTTGCATTAAGGAATCCCTGTGGGCCATCCCATGACGGCGCAGTGTCCACAGCGGTCATGGTGGACATGAACAAGTAGCTAGCATATTAGCAACATACATTTTTTTAAATTTGTTTTCAGATGACTGAAAATGAGTAAGTAGGTTTTGTTGGAGCTGCCTGTTTTATTTCACTACAGACAACCGGATCCTCTAAATAAAATTAGGAAATCAGAAACTGAACATTTGGGTTGCATTCACTTGCAACCTGCAAATAAAACACAGCAGTTTGCAGTTGATCTAAAACATGAAGGTTAATATCCCATTTAAGTTTGCATTGATAATTTTCAGTACTTGATTAAATTTGACTAAAACATGTTTTTGTGGATGACTGTTGCATTGTAGTGTGAAGTACTGAAGTTACATGTCATGAACGCAGCAGCGCAACATTTTTATACCCCAGAATAACAGCAGGAACTTCCACCAGGAAGCAGATTATTTATAATAAGTGTATCTCTTTGGACATGAGCTTTTCTAAAAATGGGATGATATCTCAACATTTCCTTCCCAGGATCCTGTGACTTGTGTAGCTGAAGTCTAAAGTGCACGAAGCACCTCTCCTCAGACATTTCAAACACAAAGTGCTCAAAGAAATCACATTTTCAGAAACGGGAGCAGCTGCTCAAGTAACAGACATGAGAAGTCTCCGTTTGACTAGATTTTCCTCTCACTCCCTTCAAATCCAATAACACCCACGCAGCGTGCACGTGTTGTCCTTTCAACGACTGCAGCCAATCATTGTCCGGGCAAAAAATACATGAAATATTAGGGCTCAGTTTGTTTTCTTTGTTGTTTTGTGCCAACATTTGATGCAAACAGTGGTGTCAGAAGCATTTATAATGTGGGGAGGACACACTGGGGGTGGGGTGGGTGGGTGGGGGGGTCTGGGGTTCCTCCCCCATAAAATTTTGAATAAAGTAGATGCCATTTCCTGCATTCTGATGTATTTTAACGAGTTACTAAACATCTACGTTTACCTACATAAGTAAACACTTGATTCAGTAACTATTTTAGAGTAGCCTGACCAACGGCCCCCCCTATTGAGAACTGCCAGCACTAACGTAGAGCTAAGCTAGCAGCGCACCGTTCAGACGCGCTAGCTAAGATGCTACAGATGTAGTGCTCTGCTGCTTTCACGCATCCTAAATCTCTGGATAATCTCTGGGGATTATCCAAGAACCCCCCAGTGTGCGTTACATGACCCGCAGTGAGGTTGTGACCCCAGAACTTTAGATAAACTCAAGGGCACCAGTACAGGTAAAGATAATAATTGATCGATCGATTGATTGATGGATAGATTCCTAATTACAGTGTCTGCCTGATGCCAGCGTTTGTATTTTCTAAGCTCAGTTGGCTGCAGCGGCCATCTTTAATTAGGTTAGCTCCAAATGTTTTTCACTTGAAGATGTACATCCAGTGATTAATTCCTTCATCTTTGCATTATCTTTAATACACTTCTTCCTTTCCAGGTCACTGGTGCTCATAGCGATCACTGTGCAAAAGGCAGGAGTCACCCTGGACAGGTCTCCAGTCCATCACAGGAACACCTGGACAGGTCTCC